TTAAAATTCTTTTTCCCTCCCATTAATTTTATTTTTTTTCTATAATTATATTTTATTAATTTTCATAAACATTTACAGAGATTTTGGGTCCCTCCCATTAATTTTAATAAACGTTTACAGAGACTTGGATTTCCATTCATTCATTGTTGCACTTTTCTCCCTGCCTACCTCTCCCCCTGTTCGCTCTTTTCTCTGAAAAGTAAAAGAAAAATTCTTTCATTGTTATACAATCCCTCCCCCCAAGTCCACTTCACTATGCCGCCTTCATTCTGGACTCCTGTCATGAAATAACACCTAATCATATATCCCTTTTAAACAGTTCTCTCCTTTATCTGTTTCAACACAGTATACATTATTTATCCCCTCTTTCTCAGTCTACTCCAAACCCCTATGTCAGTCCTCTTTTATAACAGTGGCATTATACAGTTTTTGTCTTTTGGTGACTGAGATACTTCACTCAGCATAATGTCCTCCAGGGTCTACCATTTTGAATAATATTGCATGAGTTCCTTGTTTTTTAATGCAGCATAGTATTCCATTGTGTGAATATACCAGAGCTTCTCTACCCATTCATTTGTTGACGGGCACTTGGGTTGTTTCCATCTATTGTGAACAAAGCTGCAATAAACATGGGTGTGCATGTATCTGCTTGGGTGGCAGTTATGGTCTCTTTAGGGTATATTCCAAGTAGTGGAATTGATGGGTCAAATGGTATTTTTTTTAATTAATTTTAATGAAAGTTTACAGAGACTTAGGGTTTTCAGTCATCCATTGTTGCACTTTTCTCCCTGCTCACCCCCTCCCCAGTCAGATGGAATTTCTATTCTCAACTTTTTGAGAAAGAACCATGCAGCTTTCTAGTTTTTTCACAACCTTGCCAGGATTTGAAGTTTACTGTTCTGTTAAATTTTGCTATTCTTACTGGAGTAAGATGATATCTCAGAGTTGTTTTGAGCCATGGCCTTTTCAATTGCTTCTTCATGCATCTGAAAATTGGTCAATGATGCCTTTGAATTGTGGTATTGGAGAATAAATATCCTATGACCTGTCAAAAGAACAAATAAATCTCTTGGAGGACGTGCAGCCAAAGCGAGCGCTCCTTAGAGGCAAGGATGGTGACATTTCATCTCATATAGTTTGGGTATGTTGTTAGAAGGGACTTATCCTTCCAAAAAGACATCATGCCAAGAAAGGTGGAGGGTCAGAAAAAGAGAGGAATACCCTCAACAAGATGGTTGACTGTAACAATAGGTTCAAGCATTTCAGAAATGGTGAGGATGGTGCTGGATAAGGCGAGGTTCAGATCTGTTGTTCAGAGAGTTGTTATGAGTCACAGTTACTTGACACCACCTAAAAATGAAGGAAGGGAAGACCCTCAAGATGATAAAATGACAAAGTGACTGTATAACAATGGGCTCAAGTATAACAAAGATGACATAGGATACGGCAGGGTTCAGCTCTATTGTTGAGTCAGTAGGAGTCATGGTTGACTCGATAGCTCCTAACAACAGTAATAACAGTATTTCTCTTCCTCTAATTAGCCATATTACTGTATACCTGTTCCTTCTTTTTGTTCACTCTTCCTTATCATTTAAAGTCTAGCTCAGATACTAATTCTTCTAGGAAGCTACTCACACTACCACCCAACCCTGACATACTCTCTTCTTCTCTCAGATATCCCCTGATACTTCCCTCAATCACATTTTTGATCATTTCCCTTTTAATCTGTCTGAATCTGATACCTCTATTTAATATTCATTCAGTATTTTTTGAGCAGGTTCTACGTACTAGGCCTCTTTCATTCCTCTGTTCTGGACACCAATGTACCTAGATCCTTTTTGTCATGTTGTTGTTGTGGTGTGCCATTCAGTCAGAACTGACTCATAGATGATCCTCCAGCAAGTTTTCAGAGGAGGAGATTGCCCATCTTTCTCCTGCAGAGCAGCTGGTGAGTTAAAACCGCCTGTCTTTGCACTGGTAGCGTAACTCCCTATACACCAGACCCCCACCGTTTCCCTCATAGAGCTCAAATTTTAACGGAATGAAGCAGGACATAAACACAATATGTGAATTAATCTTGAAACCCCAGCATCACCCTGTAGAAGGAATGAATAGATTTGAAGATTCCACCTGGGAACAAATAGATCTTGAAAGAAGTACAGAGTGCTTCTTAGAGGCAAGGATGGTGAAACTTTGCCTCTCTTACTTTGGGTATGTTTTCAGGAGGAACTAGTCCTTGGCGAGAAACATCATGCTGAGAAAGGTAGAGGGTCAGAGAAAGAGAGGATAACCCTCAACGAAATAGACTACTGCAGTGGGCTTGAGCATAACAGAGATCATGAGGTTCAGATCTGTTGTTGTTCATAGGGTCTCTATGAATCATAGTCGACTTGATGGCCCCTAATCACCACCACCACCATCTGGGAAAAAGACCAGCATTTAAGGAGAGAGTGGAGAATCCCACCTGGTCCAGAAAACAAGGGGCGCGGGGGGGACGGGGTAGGACTGTAAGACGTTGAAGTCTGAGATTAATTCGAAATGAGGGCGACCTTAGGGGGACTTGGCTGTAGATCTAGTTTTCAGTCTAGACAGATCCAACTGAAGTTATGTGTGTGTGAGGGTTTAGGGAGGGTAGCAGAGGCCACAGATCTGCAAGATGAGCTGCAGGAGGCACGCCAGGCTGAACCTGGGCTCCTCGGGCGTCTCTAATTTCCTTTCTCTATTTTGTCCCACGGAACAGAGCCTGTGGTGCCTTGAATGCAGAGATAAGGAATTTCTCGCTATAAGGCCACAAAACACTGGTGCTTTTGAGCAGGGGAGGCCCATGAGCAGATAGGCTCACAAACGCCCTGGTCGTTAGAGTGTCCTTAAAACCACACCTCTAATTTTTAATGTACCATATGGGAGCGTCCTTTTATAGCCACCCCCGCCAGGAAGAATGGATTAACCCACTAGCTCCCCTCCCCCCACCACGTGAATGGGGCACACCCCCCTGCCTCCGTAGGTGGTCCCTTCCGCCCATTTGTCGCCGCCACCACCCCTCCCCCGCAGATGGTTCCTTCCCTGAGGAAGGGCTCTCGTTTCCCCCGCCCACTCTCCCACTCGCCGCTTCTGGCCACACCCGTGAGGCCAGCGAGGTGGTTTCTCCTTCCTCCCTCACTACGCTGGATGGTTTCGCCTTTACCCCGCCCCCCTAGTGCTCGCGCCACCGCCTCCGCTGCTGAGCGAGTGGTCGGGGCGGAAAGAACCCGCACCTAGGCCGGGGCAGCTCACTGCTGGGAAGGGACGGTTCTCCCTGAAATTCCCTCCCCTGCAGGAAAGGCGGTGCCTGGGATCGGCCAGCGCTCCCCGCTGGAGTGCTGCGGCAGCCGGGACTGGTCCATTGTTGCTTGAAGGGGTGAGGGTGGGCGTGGCACCGCCACCTCCTCCAGGAGTGCTCCGGGGCGACCTTGCACATTCATCCTGCAGGAATTCCGGTGCCAAGATGAGCGCGGAGGAGAACCCGGCCAGCAAGCCCACCCCGGTGCAGGACGTGCAGGGGGACGGGCGCTGGATGTCCCTGGTGAGCGACCTCGCTCGTCGATTCCCTGGAGTCCAGGGTGGGGGTGGGGCCCCGGAAGGCAGCTGGTTTGTAAATTGGGAAACTGAGGGCAGTTGTGGTGGTGCTGCAAGGCGGGGCGGGTCTCTGAGCGCGAGTACTGTTGACACCCCCTCGTGCGTCCCTTCAGCACCATCGATTTGTGGCGGACAGCAAAGATAAGGAACCCGAAGTCGTCTTCATCGGAGACTCCTTGGTCCAGCTAATGCACCAGTGCGAGGTGAGACCCGCCCTTCTGCCTGACCCATGCCTTTTGCCTTCATTGACACACCTGGACGGAGCCCAAGGCTTCTGGGGCGTTGGGTACCGGAAATAGCCTCAGGTAGCGCCCCACGCTGAGAATCTCAATTTAAGGTGCAGCATTCTGTTAAGAAGATAGTGTGTGCTGTGGCTTTGTCAGGTGAAACTTAGAATAGAATAAGGCTTTGCTGCAAGATGATCGTTTATGGTGAGGCTCTTCATTGTTTGCCTAAGATGGTGCACAGCCCTAATGAGTTTCCATCAAGCAATTATAGAAGCTTTAGTCAAAGTGAAGGTCAACTCTAATATCTTCTGCACAGAGCGGGGCTCAGCCCATCCTTCCACTAAGCGAGGTTCATCCATAATTGCTTTCCATAAAGTGAGGATTCAATCCTTTGTTCATGCAGAGTGAATTTCCAGAGTGAGTCTTGCCTCTAAGGGGTCTGCAGAGAGTGAGATTATGAAGGTTTCCATAAAGTGAACTTTGACCATAAAGGGGTTTGCTCAAGGTGAAGTTGCTCCATAAAGCCAACTTCTCCCGTGATGGCGTCTGGTGAATACTTGGACAGAGGGTGGTCATCCACACTGACCTTGCCCTTGTGCCCATGACACTTCATGCACACAGATCTGGCGAGAGCTCTTCTCTCCTCTGCATGCACTTAACTTTGGCATTGGTGGAGACAGCACCCAGCACGTGCTATGGCGCCTGGAGAACGGGGAGCTTGAACACATCCGGCCCAAGGTAAGTGGAACTTGGGAGGGCACTAGACCATGCTTGGGCAGCCCCTTCTCTGCACCCTCACACCTATTTTCCCCACAGATTGTAGTAGTTTGGGTGGGCACCAACAACCACGGACACACAGCCGAACAAGTGACAGGCGGCATCAAGGCCATCGTGCAACTGGTAAACCAGCGGCAGCCCCAGGCCCGAGTCGTAGTGCTGGTGAGAAAATGGAAGGATGGGGAAGGAAGAATAATGGGGTTAGGACCCCCTCAGATGTAGCCATAGCTGGCATCTGACATGATTCCACATAGCTTGGCACAGAGCACTCATTGGCTGTCAGGCAAAGTCTCTTGGTGATGCTTGCCCACCTATCAGAGCATCATGCTTAATGAGAGTTTCAGGGACCAATTAGTCTATTTTTCCCCAAGGGATTGTGGGAGACTCTGGAGGTACTGAAACATTTAAAGTATCACTGGAATAGCTGAAAAGTGTCACACAGTCCTCTGGTGAATCTAGACTCTGTTACACCTAGCAGGCAACTTTCCTCTGCAAGGGTCACCATCTTGCCATTTTGGGAGTGGTACTTGAAAAGCAGCAGACAATCAGGTTTTGGCTTAATGGGGGTTGGTATGTATCAGGAAGTGCTCCTACACTGATCTCCCACTTTCCCTACCCTGGCATCTCCTTTATCTGTGAGCTTCCCAAGTTGGAAGCAGGGAACAGCTGGCTGGTCAGACATCTCTTTATATCTCCTCTCAGGGTCTGCTCCCACGGGGCCAGCACCCCAACCCACTTCGGGAGAAGAACCGACGGGTGAATGAGCTGGTACGGGCAGCATTGGCTGGCCAACCAAGGGCCCACTTCCTAGATGCCGATCCTGGCTTCGTGCACTCGGATGGCACCATAAGTCACCATGACATGTATGATTACCTGCACCTGAGCCGCCTGGGCTACACACCTGTCTGCAGGGCCCTGCACTCCCTGCTTCTGCGTCTGCTGGCCCAAGACCAAGGTCAGGGTGTCCTCTCGATGGAGCCCACATCATGAGCAGCCTGCCTTCCCACACATTAAATTCTCAATTCTCATTCGTCCCACCTCCTGCTTTGTGGCTGAGTCCATCTGGTACCACTGCCTCATCTTCAATCTCTGGGACCCTGTGTTGTGCTGTACTAGATCTACCCAGGGCAGACATCACCAATCCATCCAAAACACTCCCAATAGGAACACGAGGTGAAACCAGTTTGCCAGCACTGCTTTACAGAAAAGGAGCCCTGGTAGCATACTATACAGCACATTCATCGGGCTGGTAACTCAAAGGGCAGCAGTTCAGATCCATCAGCTGCTCCTCTGGAGACAGATGGGGAGTCTCCTGTTAAGGGGTCACTGTGTGTTAGAATTGACTCAACAGCAGTGGGGTTGAGATCCTACAGCAAAGGAGTCCCTGTTGGCATGAAGGTTAAAGCACTTGGCTGTAAACCAAGTTTGTTGTTCCATCCACTGGCCCCTTTATGGAAGAAAGATGTGTCTTATTTCTATAAAGCCTTGAAACTCAGTGGGGAAGCTCTGCTCTGTCCTTTAGGGTCTCTGCAAGTCAGGATCAACTCATATCAAGGCTTTTGAAAATAGTGATCCACCAGTCAAAGCCTAGTCTTGGCAGTTCTATAATTAGCGCTTTGATCCCAGGTGAAATGCCACTTCCCGCAGTCGTTTCCTGACCCTCCCCGCCCTTAGCAGTGCTCACCCTCCACAGAGTCTCCCCCCAGGTCAGAGACTCAGAGCATCGTGTCCACAGCTGGTGAGTGGGAGGGGTATAACGTCTTTCCAAGGTGCAGTGCTGTCTCTGGCCGCAGGGGGGCAGTAGACACAAGCAGTCAATCCAGTGCACTTATGAGCACGCTCTTGCGTAGACAACTCATAGACTAGTGATGGGTGCATTCCATGGCATGAGTGCCTCTCTGGCATAAACTGTTACCCTAACCCAAAGGTCAAGCATTTTCAACAAAGACCCGGCAATCTACCTCCAAAAATCCAGCCACTGAAAACCTACAGAGCAGCTCTACTTCATGGTTGCCATTAGTGGCTGCAATTAATGACCCTGGGTCTCAGGCCTTCCCCCAAGATGAACACACTGGATGATGGCGCATCAGACACTGTGGGACACTCCCTTTTTGGGCCCAGATTTCCCAGGCACTCTGGCCAAGACTCAGTAAGTGAAGTTGCTCAAAGACCCCCATGGTGCTGGTGAGGGGGCTCAGGATCCTAGAATTGTTGTATCCACCCCACTCATACCTCACAGAAAACGCCCAGGACCACAAAGGGCATGCGCGCCTTCCCCTGTAAAGCAGCAGCGACACAGATGTGTTAAACAGCTTTAATCTCGGTCATTGCGGCTTCGGCACAGTAAGAAATATTGCACATGATCAACATGTTTTGTTCTGGGGAGGGTGAGGGTAAGGGTAAATCACCTTCTTAGAAAGTACAACTCAAGTTGGGAAGGCAGAGGGGGTGGGGAGAGAACCCCCACCATGCCTGTGGCAAAGTGCAGGAGCCCCCACCCCCAAACGAACCTGAGTCCAGCCCCTCTGGGGAGAGAAGGGGTGCATGAACTCCTCCCTGCTCCACAGGTGCCTCCCTGTGGGCCAAGGCCCGCACTACCCTCCAGCTTGAAGCTCTCATACGAGCCATTTTGCATAAAGTACAAATGAAAGAGTCTGAAGGTAACACACTCCAGGATATGTACAGGGGCTCGGTGCGGAGAGAAAGGGCCCCTGTTCCCCTCAGCTGCCCCCCATCACAGGGAGGGAGCTATGGGGGGGAGGGGATATGTACAAGAGGAACAGGCCTCATTCCGCCCCAAACTGGAAAGGACGAAATGGCTTTATTAGGGGGGAGGTAACCATCCTGCCGCCCCGCATTCCTGCCACCTATATACTGTCTGTGTCCTGAGGGGGGCACTGTGGGTCCTGGGATCTTCTCAGGGGTCCCTCACCTGCCTGTGGCAGTTGTGGAGGGTCCAGAGGGTGGGGGAGATGCCTGGGGAAGCCCCTCCCAGCCAGGTTGTCCAGGCCCTGGCTCTGGGGGTGGAGGCAGTGGTGGGGCAGCTGGGGCTGTGCCAGAGTCCGAGCCAGGTGAGGTGGGGTCAGGGACCCCAGCAGGGCTGGGGGTGGGAGCAGGGGCAGTGGCAGTGCCAGTAGGGGACGGTCCAGGAAGAGGGGCCTCAGCTCCAGGGGGCTGCTCCGTGGGTGTGGCTGCCTGCATGATCTTCTGGCGGACCTCTCGAATCTTCAGCTGCAGACAGACCTTGGAGGGGAAGATGTCTGCGTAGCGGGCCTGGAAGGCTGCAGTGGCCTGGGCTGGGGATACAAAGGCATGGGTGTTGGGGCAGGACAGCCGAGGGGCCTGATCCCTGACCACCATTGGCTGACCCAGCGCCCCAGCAGGCTCACCTGAGGGGAAGAAGCCATGGTCCTGGAAGAGCTGCATGACCAGGGCCCGGCGCTGGTCCAGGGTGCGCCGCAGTGATGAGTAGGGCACCTTCTCATACTCCAGCTCCCCGAGCACATCCTCAGCTTCTGTACCTGAAGCAGCGAGGGGACAACGGCAGGGTCAAGACTACAGCAGCTGCCTGACCCACCCCTGACTGGCTGTCCTCCCACTCACTCTCTGGGACCCGCATCCCACCTTGCCCTCTCTCTCCCCTGATGCCAAACTTCTCTTGCAGGCTCTGCTTAGCAGCACCTGTACCTGTTCGGTCAAAGGTGAAGATGTCTCCCTCGCATTTGGCGCTCTTGGGGGTATTGGGCTCAGAGCTGCAGCTCGAACGCCTCCTCATCTTGCGCTTGGGTGATGTGGGATCCTCGGGCGCTGAGTCCAGGTCTGGTCAAACAGGCAGGCTCAGCGGAGGTGGCCCGTCTGTCCTTCACCCCCCCCAACCTGGGTGACCAGCGCTTGCCTACCTGTGGAGTTCTTCCTCTTCTTGCGGTAGGAGCCCAGGATGGCCCTTGGTGAGGTAGCCAGAGACTGCAGGGTAGGGGAGGGCAGTACCTCCTCTGGCCGAAATTCGGGCAGCTCAGCAAAGCGCTCTTCGAAATCCACCTCTGACAGGACCCTGCTGGAAAGTCCACAGGGTCACCTCCCATGTCCAGTGCAGCTGTCCACGCCCATCAAAACCCCCTCAATCCGCAAAGACCCCCCGGGCCATGCTCACTTGTCCACAGAGTCAAAGGTCTTCTTCAGGGGTGGGGGCCGCACCTTCACCTTCTTGCCGGTGCTAGCCACCTCCTTGCGCTCCGGGGTGTCCCCAGCCGCCCTCCCACCGTTGCCCTCACTGCTGCTGAGGCTGCCACTGGGGGCAGGAGCTGGGGTGGGGCTGGGTGGGGTGGGAGGCTCCCCTCGGCTCTCCAGGCCCAGCCCGGGGATGCGCCAGTCTGCAGAGGAGCTGGAAAATTTGCTGGCCTGAGGTGGAAACAGGCAGGGAGACAGAAGGTATGAGATTCAGGCTCACTCGGACAAGCAGGTGGGCCACAGCACAGCCCAGAGAACAGATGGATGCTGAGTCAGCCAGACACATGGACATGTGGAAAAGACCCAGTCATGCAGACTTGGAAAGGCTGGGACAAGGAGCTCAGTGAGTAAGGTGTCTGACAGACAAGTGGGACGTGGAATTGCTGAGCTCCTCGGGGACAAGCGGAGGGCATGTGCACACAGGTGAGCAGGGAAGAGAGGACAAGGACAGCAGACAAGAGCACAGCCAGCCCCAACCGCAAGTGCCTCCACAAGTGCCCACTGAGTTCTCACCACGGCCTCAGGACCCTTGGTGCTGGTCCGCTCCTCAGCAGGCAGGGGTGGTGGGGGGCTGCTCCGGGCAGGGGGAGCCCAGGTCTCTGGGGGTGGCAGAGGGCCTGGAGTTGTTGGCTGCCCCTCCAGCTCTGACTCAGGGGCAGCTGGCTCTCGGGCTGGGCCAGGCTCCAGCGGCTGCCGGGGTGCAGGGCCAGGCCGCCCAGGGGCACCTGCTTCAAAGGAGCCCACGGGAATGCTGGCGATGGCCGCCTTCACTTTCTGAGGGGCCTTGGGGGTTGGCCGCTGGGCCTTGGGCGCCACCAAGCTGTAGGTCATGGAGCCTGCAGAGGGAGAGAAAAGTATTCAGTCACGCCCAACTAGAGCCCACTGCTTGGGTCCTACAGTTCACCCTGGATTGGCCTTGACACACACCTGTGGCACTAGGAAAGGGGCTGGTGGGGGCTGGCGTGGCAGTGGTGGGGGCTGGCGGGCCCTTGGGCAGGATAGCGGCAGCAGGGGGTGTGGTGCTGGTGGCCACAGTGTAGACTAGGCCTGGCGGGGCCTGGGATGGCTGGGCCAAGGGTGCTGAGGAGGTGGGTGCAGGGCTGCCAGGGTAAAAGGCTGTGATGACAGGACCTCCAGGGGCTGTGCAGGCGGGAGGCAGCTGGGGGCTTGGCACAGGTGACACGCCCACCTGGCCTGGAGCCAGCAGTGAGGTTTGGCCTGAGAGAGAGAAAATGGAAAAGGAACGAAGAATCAGGGTCTGGCTAGTCCCAGGCATCGTGGGCCCCCAGCCCTGCCTGCTAAGTGGTCCCTCACCTGAGAGTAGAGGCTGCACGAAGGCCGGGCCACTGGGCCCCAGCGAAGTGAAGCCAAGGGCTACAGAGCTTGTGGGCCCATATGAGGTGACTGTTCCAGCCTGGCTGGATGTGGGGCTGGTGCCTAGGGGCAGTGTGTGCCCAGCCGCTGACTGCACGTAGGTGATTCTGCCGAGAGGAAAGGCAAGGAAAGGGGAGGGGGGGCAGTGAGCCAGCCCTGCCCAATTTCTTCTCTAGACAGGCTTCGAGGACAAACAAGCTCAACTGATTACCTGGTAGAGGAGGGCAACAGGACCTTCTGGGGCTGAGAAGTGGGTCCAGGCAGTGGGGCCGGGCTCAGGGGCGGCACCAGGCCGCTGGGGGTGCTCACGGGCACTGGAGTCAGCTGGATGATCTGTAGGCAAGAGCCCCCAAGGCGAGGGGTGAGCTGTGAGCCTGAGATGGGGCAGATGAGGAACGAAACCTAGTGGGGTGTGGCACTAGCAAGAACAGGGAATGCAAAATTTGAGCATCAAAACAGAATGGAGACAAAGAAAAGAGGACAGTCAAGGGTAGATCAATGACAGAGAACAAAGTAGAGATGCTAAAAGCAGAAATCAAGGGAAAAAACTCAAAGCAACACACCAAGACAGTGGGGAAAAAAAACCAAAATCTCAGTGACAAAGAAACAGAGCAGCAAAGATTGAAAGACTTAGGTTGACAAACACAAAGGGTAAGAGATGCAAAAACCACAGGGATAGCCATTCAGGCCCTCAAGGAATGGGCAGAGAAAGGGTGTCCTCACCTTGCTGGGAGGCTGGGCACCATTCTGCACTGGTACTGAGAATGGTGGGCTCACCAAGGGCAGGGGCTGGGCAGCCCCTCCTCCACGCACCGACATGCCAGGGGCTGCCAGGGGCACCAGGACCTTCCCGGGCAGCAGCTGGGCCGAGCCACCCGGGGGTGGGGCCTGCACAGGAGACACCGACTGGGCTAGAAGAAACAAGCAAGGGAGGGTCACCAGGACGCAGAACAGGGCTCTGGTGCTGTCCTTGCACTGCCCAGTCCAGGACTCACCTTTGGGGGGCAGGGCAGAAGGTACGGACTGCAGGATTGGGATGCCAGGAGTGGGTGCGGTGGCGGCCAAGACCTTGCCGTTAGTGGAGGTGCCTGGCGGCAGGGTGAAACGGATGCTGGTGGTGGGAGCAGGGGTGCTGGGAGCAGCTGCCTTGGTCCCAGGGGCTGTGGCTGGGGCAGGTGCAACCTGAAGCTGCTGGGGCAGTGTGGGCAGGATGTACTGCACCTGGGTGATTCCCCCAGCCTTGCCCAGGGTACCTGGCTGCAGGATGCCCAAGGGCACTGGCCCATTGGGGCCACTCCCTGCACCTGTTCCAGAGCCTGAAGGTGCCCCACTGCCAGGTGGTGTTCCCTGGGCAATGAACTGGACAGCAGGAGGCGCAGGGGCCCCATAGCCTGGGGTGCCCACCAGCAGGTTGGTGACAGCGGCAGGTGCCTTTCCCACAGTGCCCAGCAGAGGCCCAGCCACCAAGTGTGGAGCTGGTGAGGTGGCTGCCGCAGACTTCTTATCCGAATACACCAAGCTGACGCCCAGTGGGGAGCCCCCAGGGGCCCGTGACCCAGCGCCTGGCTCAGTCCTGGCCCCTGCTGTATCATTTGGAGATGCCTCGGCCCGGCTGGAGGTGGGGAAGGGCTTAGAGGCAATGGGCACAGGAGTGCTGCTAACTGGCCGCACCACATTGGTGACCATGGTGGTGGCTGGGCGTGACAGGGGGGCTGCTGGGGCACCATAAGCCAGTGATGGGGCTGAGGGCATGCGGGCTCTGCTGCCCTCCCGGTCTTCTTTATTTGAGGGTAAAACCAGTGTCTGCAAGATGCTCCCTCCCCCACCAGGAGGTGCTGAAATGACTGAGGGTCCTGGTGGCTCCAAGCCCCCTACACTTTCTGGTCTCTTGCGCCGAAAGGTGGCAGGGTCCGTTGGGAAGAAACGGGTGGCTTTGGAAGGTGTCACTGGGCCCCCAGAACCAGGAGGCGGGGGCCGAAGTGGGCCTGCTGTGCTGCCCTGTCCGGATTCCTGGGCCTTGAAGGTTCCTGTGCCCAGGGACAAAGAGGTGGCCAGAGACGTTGAGGCAGAGGCAGGTGAGGATGAGGAGGAGGATGGGGTGGGGCCGTAGCCCTTGCCAAAGGATGCAGGCAGATCCGGGGGCCCAGGGGGTTCAGGATCCATGGGCGGACGGCAGTGGGTGAAGGAGGAACGGATCACGGGTGAGAAGACCTTTCGGCCAAAGCCCTGGGGGGACAAAGGCTGTCACATAGTTTCAGGGAAGCCCAGGCACATCCCATCCACCTTCACTGGCCTGTCAGCCAGGCCTGCACCAATTAGCGGAAGGCATTTTATCTTGGCTAGACCCTAATTCCCTACAGAGAGAAGCAGCACACACTCCCTGGGCCTCAATCCACCCCACAGGAGTCACTTCTCCCCCACACTGAGAGTGAGTGCCACACAACAGTGCCATGTCCCCAGCCCCTTCACCTTGCTGCCCTCGGGGTCCTCCCCAGAACTGTCTCCGCTCTCGCTGTCAGTCACCCGCTCTTTGCACTTGAGATCAATGTCCGTGGCACCAAAGCTATCGTCAGCTGAGAGAACACAATGAAGTATATCAGCACAGATGGCCACAAGGTGGGTGCGAGGCTGCTCCAGAAGAGTGGTCTGGGATCAGGGCTCGTACCTCAGCTCTGCCCCAACTGGCAGGGAATGTTGTTCAGGAAACCTATTCCTCAGTCAGTGTGAACTCCCTGCCTACAGGAGAGCATCTAGCGCTGTGTCTAATCCTCTGGTCACACACCTGTCCTCTCTGGCTGGGACCTCCCAAGAGCAGGGCTGAGTTTCCTCAAAAGTGTTTCAACAAATAAGCAATAGTGACGAAGAATGGTGACAAAAAAGGCACCAGGGGACCTAGATCAAATCTCCTCCACCCTTTCAACCTTATCCAGGGCCCCCCAGGTCAAGATTCCAGACTCTGCTCTGCTTACCAATGACATCATCATCCCCCTCTTCCTCACAGATGACCATGCGCTCTTCATCACTGGTCATGTCCTCGCTGGCTGCCCGCTGGGAACGAGAGGCTCGGGTGGGCAGCAGGGGGGGACGTCCACTGGCCACCAGGGCCCCGCTCTCACCAGGGGCTGTGAAGGGGCCTGAAGCCCCATACTGGCTGGTGGGCTTTGGGCCAGAGTAGGACGCTGGGCCAGACACCATCTGCAGGGCAGGTGGCATTGAGGGCTCAGCCAGGACTGCCAGCTTGGGCAGCCCTCCCTCTACCCCCCTGGAGGCGTGCACCCCAGACCTGAGTCAGCTCCTGCAGGGCCTGGCTGTCTGCTTCCCCGCCGTCTAGGCTGTGGACCCCACTGTGGGAGAAGGCACGGGGCCGGGCTGAGCCAGGCCCTCCAACCGCGTGTAGCCGTTCGGCCCCACAGGAGCTGCTCCCTGGGGCCTTGCTGTCTGAGCTCAAAAGGGTCTGGGCCGCCACGGATAGGAGTTCTGAGGACACTGGGAGGAGAGAGACAGTCGAAGTTAGGAGCCGCTCATCAGCACCTGCACCGAGGCAGCCACAGACGTGGAGAACTAAGCAGTACAGGCTGGTGTCCCTGGGCCACCCAGTGGGAAAGACTCTCCTTCTGGGTCCTGCCCCCTAGGGGTGGCAAGAAACAAGCCCATTCTTCAATGGAAAGCTGCCCTTGAGTTTGAGGAGAGCTTGGAAGTCACATGGCACTGGATATCTAACCAATGGCCTGCCCATCTATCTCAGGAAGGAATGAACACCCCCTTGCCACAGCAAGCTGCGAGGCCACATCCACATCCATCTAAGATGACTTTAGAAAGTACCCTACTAAGGTAGTGTGTCCTGAGTATACTAAAAATGCTCACCAAATTAAAAGGAGCACAAATGGATGTTCTTAGCTATGACGTTTCTTACAACCTAGACAAACTGGGGTTTAAATCCTGACTTACTACTATACTGTGCATGCAAATAAGTCACTGTACCACTTTGATGCTCAGTGGTCTTTACTGAAAAGTGAAATGTGCCTTTGATTACTAAAAACCCTACTTCTCACTGCCTGTAACACAGCAACTAACAGGGCAGGGCACAAGCAAGTGGTGGCTGGGGTTGCAGGTTGCTGGTAGCCCTTACGGAAAGAGGAGACAATGTAAAAAAGTTGAGGGCCTGCTAGCTCACCTCCGGGGGCAGCAGCTGTGCCTGTCTCCGACATGCTCCGCTCCCGGGTCTCCTTGTGTCCCCCACCTAGCCCCAGGCTTGTGGGCTTGGCTTCTGAGCTTGACTTCTTTCGGTCCTTGTTGCACCATTTCCAGTCTGGGTGGGCCTTGAAATGGGCCTCCTTCACCTGGCAGGAGATGGCAGGGTGATCCCTCGTTTAGCCATTTAACTAGAGGAAGCCAGGGTGGCCCAGAGAGAAAAGAACAGTACCTGGAAAGCCAGATCATGGTACTTCTGCTTCTCCTTGGGTCCCAGGGCATACCACCACTCGCCCAGGATCTTGCTGACTGTCCGGTTGTCCTGGTTGGGGTGACGCTGGTGAACCAGAGCCCGGTGCCGCTTGCTGAAGATCATGAAGGCATTCATGGGCCGCCGGATATGGTCTTTCTCCCGCTGCGGAGACAAAGCCCCGAGAGGGGTAGGTTAGGGCTGAGGAGACAGCCTGGTCAGAAAGCAGGAGCTCATATGTGAAACAGCAAAGCAGCAAGGCTGCACCTTGTTGGGGCTGCGTCCATCTTTCTCAGAAGATGAGTCCCGCTCTTTGGGCAGGGCACTGAGGGACTGGGTCCGACGTTTTCCAGGTGGCAGAGGCAACTGGATCTCCGGAGACATGATGGAGAGGAAGCTGTGGTGGGGGAGGCAGGACAGTGAGGACCATGATGATGGCCACCCTGCATGCCTCCCCCAGTCCCAGGCCTCTGTGCCCTTACGCATCATCATGGTCACTCTCCGTCTCGCTGTCTAGCCGGGACTCTCCTGGGGGACCGGGGACGTCTTCCTCAGTAGGCAGAGGGCCCTTGCCAGGTTCCACCACTCCCAAAGTGTGAGGGGGTCCAGGCACTGGGCTCTCAGGGCACGTGGCCGCGGGGGGCCGCCCAAGGTCAGCATTTCCTGTCCCACTAGGTGGCTCGTGAGCAACAGCTGCTGACTCAGCAGGTTCTGAGGACAGAAGAATGGGATCAGCGAGGCCCTGGGCTCCCTGGCCGCCCTCACCCAGGCTTCCCTGCAGCCCCTTGCCCCTCACCTTTGCTCTGGTTGGAGGCCACGGGGTGGCTGGCAGGTTGCTGTGCCTCACTCGGCTGCACCGAGGGGTCAGGCTGGCTGGGGGCCAGGAAGGGAACTAAGGAGTGCCAGGGGAACACGGCCACAGAGCGAGGTTCCACATTCGTCCACACTGTGGGAAGGGGTCAGGTGAGCTGGGCAGCCAGAAAATGGAGCTCTGACTCTCAATTCAACCTCTTCTCCACCCTGAGGCTGCCTCTGCCCCCTCTTTCCACCCCTTCACCAATCTCCAAGCCTCCTGGGCTATGGTGATGGCAACAACCTCGCTCAAGAAAACCACCTTTTTATAAGGTTTTTAGGTTGGTAAAAAAAGCAAACAGAAACACGGAAAGGAAATAGTATTTACTCTCACACACACACACACACACACCCCAGCTCTGCCACCAGGGACCAGGCCTGAGGAACAACCAGCTCCTGCCACAAACCAGGTCATGCTTGACTGCCATCCCACACTCCCAAGGCCCCGAAATCTCAGCCATGCTAAGAACACCCCCAGTTGTGCCACAACCCCAGTACTCTCTCTCCTAGGCTGTGTCAACCCCTTGCGTTGGCCCCAAACGCTTTCTCTTTCCCTGAGGAAGGTGGCCACGTGTCCCTTCCCAAGTCTCTACCCGTTACCCATAGGACAGGGAATCTCAGGTCTTTCTTCTTGCCTCCCTCTGTCTAGCACACACTTCTGACAGTCAGACCTGCCCTGCCTTTCCTGGGCTGAGCACAGGTGGCTCCTGCATCCTCCACCCCTGAAGAGGCCTCTCAGTCTCCCTCTGGCTAAACCTCTGAGTTTATCTTTAGACTAACCGCCCATCCTGCCCCCTTGCCCAGAAAGACAGAGGGTGTAGTAAACTCCTCGGAAGACAAGGCACAGACAATGAGGCACAGGAGAATATAGTTACACATACGTCCCCAAGGAAAGCAAAAGCGCGAACGTGTACAGGAAAGTACTGCCTCACCATGGGCCAGTGTCTGGGGGCTCACCTTCAGCCCCAGAAGCTGCGTGGGAAAAAGGGAAAATCCTAGACTGGGACCCACCCATGGTTGGAATTGGGGGCCGGGGAACCTTAGCTGGGCTTGGGCTTCCCCTCTACTGCCTGGCTCCTGGGGGAAGTGGAACCAGCAGAGGAGGCCCCTGCGAAGGGCAGAAGGCTCAAGAGAGGAGGGAAACGCCCTAGCCCTGATCTCCATCACTCCAGGCCTCCCCTTGTTCAGTTCAATTTGACCTGGGGTGACCCCTCAACCATCCCTTGCCTACAAAAGCCCGGACCAGGAAGCTGTGTGTGATGCACTGGCTTTGAGACCGGATTCCATGTGGGGCTCACAAAGGAAAAAGTGGTCATCGAAGAACAGTAAGAATAAGAACGGGAGTCCCAGATGTTCAAGCTTGACTAGCCTGACCTCCACCCCCAAGGCACCAGGGGCCCAAAGGTCTGCTGGTCCCTGCAAGCCCCTAACAGTGCCCAGGAACCAAGAGCTGTTCCTCTCTTGACAAAGATTTCTTTCTCATCAAGGTCTCTTCATCTTCTAGGGGGATGGGGTAGAAGAAAGCCAGCACCCAGCAGACAATGCAGGGACAGTTCTTTGGACCTGCCCCCTCCCCAGTGAAAGATCCTCCAGGTTCTACCCGAGTCTCCCCCTCCTATAAGCAAAGCACACCCCACACATTCCAGACTATCACTCTGCTGAGCAAACCCAGCCTCAATCACAGCCCCCACTCTGCTCTATTCGGCACCCAGTAGGTCTCATGCCGCTCCTGTTTCCACCCAGGCCCCACAGCTAGTTCTACTCTGCACCTCGCACCTCCAGTTCCAAAAGGCCTGTTCCAACCCATCCCCTACACGTCACAGCTGTCCCCAGGTACTCAACTCCCCATTCCTCACTCCAATCTGCTCTGCTCCACTCCCACCTGCTGTCACTTAACCACTTGGCCCGGCCGAGCTCTGCAACTTTCCCGTTGCCCCTTTACTCTGCCTCTACCGATCTCATCTGGAGCGCCCGTCACCGTTACTCCGCAATGATCACCCCGACACTTTGACCCTTGCAGTTTCACGGTGCGGGCGATACTGACCGAACATGCCGAGGCCACGGGAGGTAGCGCCAGATGCGGGCACCAGGGGCCTGTGGGCCGAGTACATGGTCTGGTGCGGGGGGGCCCGGCCGGGGCTCGCGCCTCCTCAGCGGCAACCGCCGCCGGCTCCTCCGCCGTTGCCGCTTGGGCCGCGGGGGGAGCGGGAGGCCGTCGCCGCATGCC